ATATATATATATATATATATATATATATATATATATATTTCATCTTACATAATACTGCTCCAATGAAACTTTGCCAATATAAAAAAGCATTATAAAACAATTATTCAAAAAATCGTTTTCATGGTCGGATCTCGGGAAGCAATAATAATAATAATAATTATAATAATAATAATAATTATAATAATAATAAAAATAATAATAATTTAAAAGTGAATGATAAAGTCGTCCCCTGGACCCTGGATGACGTACATTGGCAAACCAACACAAACTTTCTCTGTTCCCTAGGAAGTGTACCTAGTCGTTCGCTATTTCTTTAGCACACGAAACAAGTATAATTATTTAATGCTACAACATCCTACCAGTTACCCATTAATATTCCTAGGTAGAAAAAGACAAACGTAGACAAAGTGCCTTTTCCAATGACACAAGCGACTTCCAGCGCGAGAACCCCTGACTGACATCAATGTTGGGATATAAATGTAACTAATTGGAGGGGAAATATATAAATTAATAAAATGATTAATATGATGAAATGTAGGATTAAAACAAATTTAACAGATCCAAAAAGTATGAATCTATAAGATCAAAACAAATGATCTGACATAGCAAATGAATATGAAGATGCAAAGGCTAAATCATTATTTGCATGTGAATGTTATATTTAGCTTTTATTGATTATTATTATTACTATTTATCGTTATTACATCTGTTACGAAATAATTTCTTTAAATATAGCATGAATATAGTATGACAGTGGATGGTGGAAGTATGTTTTAAGGACCTAACTGCATAGCCAGAGTCCTTGGACACACACAGCTCTGCGCATAAATAAACCTAATCACATCTGGAATCAATCCGCTGCTGCCAAAACAGATTCCTACCACATTCTAAGGTATACGCTATCCCATCAGACATTGCAACAGAAAACAAAACTAAGATATCTCTATTAACAGATATCTTAGTATTAAATAGAGATATCTTAGTTTTAAATAGAGATATCTCTATTAATAAAGATATCTTTATTAATAGAGATATCTATATTAAAAACTAAGATATCTTCATTAAAAACTAAGATATCTCTATTTAAAATTAAGATATCTCTATTAAAAACTAAGATATCTCTATTAACAATAAAAATAGAGATATCTTAGTTTTAAATAGAGATATCTTAGTTATAAATAGAGATATCTCAGTTTTAAATAGAGATATCTTAGTTTTAAATAGAGATATCTCTTTTAATAGAGACATCTCTATTAATAGAGATATCTCTATTAAAAACTAAGATATCTCTATTAAAAACTAAGATATCTCTATTTAAAACTAAGATATCTCTATTTAAAACTAAGATATCTCTATTTAAAACTAAGATATCTCTATTAATAAAGATATCTCTATTAATAAAGATATCTCTATTAATAGAGATATCTTAGTTTTAAATAGAGATATCTTAGTTTTAAATACAGATATCTTATTTTTAAATAGAGATATCTTAGTTTTAAATAGAGATATCTTAGTTTTTAATAGAGATATCTCTATTTAAAACTAAGATATCTCTATTAATAGAGATATCTTAGTTAAAACTAAATAAGATATCTCTATTAATAGAGATATCTCTATTAAAAACTAAGATATCTCTATTTAAAAATAAGATATCTCTATTAATAGAGATATCTCTATTAAAAACTAAGATATCTCTATTTAAAAATAAGATATCTCTATTAATAGAGATATCTCTATTAAAAGAGATATCTCTATTTAAAACTAAGATATCTCTATTAAAAACTAAGATATCTCTATTTAAAAATAAGATATCTCTATTAATAGAGATATCTCTATTAAAAGAGATATCTCTATTTAAAACTAAGATATCTCTATTAAAAACTAAGATATCTCTATTTAAAACTAAGATATCTCTATTAAAAACTAAGATATCTCTATTTAAAACTAAGATATCTCTATTAAAAATTA